CATCGCGGCTGCGGACGCTACAAACCGAAGACGCTGCTCATAACCAGTATCGAGGTATTTCAATCCGCTATCTGTCGGAAGCCATTGAATAATCTGGTATACCTTATAATCGACTTCTACGACATTCGCTGAGACGAGGGCGGATTCCCGCACGACACACGCGTTTTACAAATAATGCATACCGTTGTTAACTATTTACGCAGAAACACGTGCGTGCTTGTCCTTAAAACAAGTTTCATATGTTTCGACAGATTTGTTTTCCTTCATTTATGATTACTTTCATTAAATTAAGCTTATAATATCATAAATTATAAGTGATAATTAAAGTAACTTAACTAACGATAGTCAGCGGACTGTGAGAGCGGATTGGTTCTGCTTCGGTACCAGAATGCCCTTTTTGAGTATGCCGACGTGACGTATTTTTATAGTCACCAAGTAAACATACTAAGTGACGAATATTTAAATGCTGCATTGAACTTAAGCTTCTAGTTAAGCACAGGAAATGTCGGCTTAACGCCTCGATATGCGGCTACTAACGTCTTTATAAATGAGCTGCTGCGGATGGTACCAAAATGAAAAAAAAAATATAGATATTGGACGCCCGTTTTACAAATTGCCTCGGAGTTTTCTTTTTTATTTGGTTTCTTTAACACCAGCGACAAAAAAGACAAAGACTATAGTTAGTTTTTAAAGAGTGAGGATTTTTATAGAGGAGAATGAAAAATTTTGAATTTGATTTAGGTTGTTTGTACATTAGTTGGCTCGTTTATTTTAAGGCCGTATTGAACATTGAAAGCGTAGAACATGCTAATGAATATTATATAAGGTAAATTGATAGTGTGTCTTGAAATTATTTAACAATTTGTTTGTTATTTATTGGTAGTGTATACTTTTTTTGAGACGCCATTAACTTTTTTAAATTTAAGTAAAAAAAGCTCATGGATTCATACAAATAAAAAAGAAATCGTTTTTGCATTTTTATTACCCTTTGTCCATTTCAAAGGTGTATAATCGTATCTAATAATAGAAAATGATCGTCTTACCTTTAATACCATTTGCTATCTCTACAGATAAATAAAACAGGAGTGTATGTAATATTAAAATAGCTGCTTTTTACTAAACTAAACAGCAAAGCTAAACTGTGCATATAAAAAATGAATGTATATACGGTACGGTACATAATTATTATACCAAAATATTTTTTTTACAATTTTTGTCTGTCGTTCTATATGTTTGTTCCGGCTAATCTCCGAAATGGGTGAACCGATTTTGACAGGATTTCTCTGGCAGATAGCTGGTGTAATAAGGAGTAACTTAGGCTACATTTATTTTAGAGATTCTATCTATATTTATCTATACAGATAAATAAAATTGGAGTGTCTGTTTGTAATATTAAATAACCGCTTTTTACTAAATGCATATGGATGTATACACGGTACATATACCAATTTTTTTTTTACAATTTTTGTCTGTCTGTCTGTCTGTTTGTTCCGAAGAAGTCGCGGGCACAGTTAGTGCTATATGTTTATATATTAACTATCTGTCTCCGCGACTTCGTCCTCGTGAAATTTAAAATAAAAACATCTAAAATAAAAGTAGCCTAAATTACTACTTATTATATGAGCAATCTGTCAGTGAAAGTCCCGTCCAAATCGGTCCAGCCGTTTCAGAGATTAGCCGGAACAAACAGACAGATAGACAGACAAAAATTTAAAAAAATGTTATTTTGGTATATGTACCGTGTACACATCCATATGCATTTAGTAAAAAGCGGTTATTTTATTATTACAAACAGACACTTCAATTTTATTTATCTGTATAGATAATTCTACGCGGACGAAGTCGCGGGCACAGCGTATAAAATAAGTACTGAGTGACTTGATGGGTACCATAAAGTCGCAATTTACGACTTCTATAATAAATGTTACTCTCTAAAACCGCGCAATTAATTCTAAATATGAAAGACTCTTACTTAATTCATGCGTATTATGAAGTTCTATTACACTCTAATCGTATTTTTAGTGGTATAAAATTGATATAACTATGGATAATATAAGCTACCCAATACAAACACATCTGTTTACTTTGTCAAGGAACAATATTTCCTTTGATGAAGACGATGGCTTGTATTGCACCTATTAATAATTTTAGTAGTTAATGGTCAGTTCTCAATACGTAAGGTATAAAACAAATTATTGTAACTATTAAAATATGTAGAAAAAGTGCGAAAAGATTGTCGCCGCTGTGGGAATCGAACCCACGTCTTCGGCATTCGCGGCCTGACGCTCTAGCTACTGAGCTAAACGGCTGATGACCACACCGACGAAAATCTTAACGCATTCCTCTACATTGTTTTCTTAGCATTTGAAGCAATGCTTGGCGCCATCTATTGTTATATCCTTTCCAGCATACAAACAATTTCGAATATCGTTTTACAACGATAATTCGAACGAGAGATGTCGCCATTGCTTTTTTTTAGAAATTTAAATTGTTTGTTAGAAATTTAAAATGTTCAATCTTAAGTGCAAAGATTAGCACTATAAACAATTTAAATTTCTAAAAAAGCAATGGCGACATCTCTCGTTCGAATTATCGTTGTAAAACGATATTCGAAATTGTTTGTATGCTGGAAAGGATATAACAATAGATGGCGCCAAGCATTGCTTCAAATGCTAAGAAAACAATGTAGAGGAATGCGTTAAGATTTTCGTCGGTGTGGTCATCAGCCGTTTAGCTCAGTAGCTAGAGCGTCAGGCCGCGAATGCCGAAGACGTGGGTTCGATTCCCACAGCGGCGACAATCTTTTCGCACTTTTTCTACATATTTTAATGTTCCATCTTAAGTGCAAAGATTAGCACTATAAACAAATTAAATTTTTATTGTAACTATTAAAAAGCTACTGAGCTAAACGGCTGATGACCACACCGACGAAAATCTTAACGCATTCCTCTACATTGTTTTCTTAGCATTTGAAGCAATGCTTGGCGCCATCTATTGTTATATCCTTTCCAGCATACAAACAATTTCGAATATCGTTTTACAACGATAATTCGAACGAGAGATGTCGCCATTGCTTTTTTAGAAATTTAAATTGTTTGTTAGAAATTTAAAATGTTCAATCTTAAGTGCAAAGATTAGCACTATAAACAATTTAAATTTCTAAAAAAGCAATGGCGACATCTCTCGTTCGAATTATCGTTGTAAAACGATATTCGAAATTGTTTGTATGCTGGAAAGGATATAACAATAGATGGCGCCAAGCATTGCTTCAAATGCTAAGAAAACAATGTAGAGGAATGCGTTAAGATTTTCGTCGGTGTGGTCATCAGCCGTTTAGCTCAGTAGCTAGAGCGTCAGGCCGCGAATGCCGAAGACGTGGGTTCGATTCCCACAGCGGCGACAATCTTTTCGCACTTTTTCTACATATTTTAATGTTCCATCTTAAGTGCAAAGATTAGCACTATAAACAATTTAAATTTTTATTGTAACTATTTAAAGCATAGATACACGTACACTTTAATTTATATATTATATATAATATATATAACTGCCTTAATATGAGTGGGTAATATAAAATAAGAAATACTGAAGAATACGGCAAACACAAAAAAAAGTTAAGACGGAGTTTTTGACGACAATGGAGTTTATATATTATTATATTCATATTCACGAGACGAATTTTAACTAACTATCGTAAGTCAATTAATTCAACAACAGGTAAAAAACAGAAAAAGGTTTCCGAGCCCCATATATGATGGACTTGGTTAAGTTAAAAAAAAAAAAAAAAAAAAAAAAACAAACCATAGTGTAAAAATCGTTGAAAGCAAAACGCGAACGTGCCAGTTACATCGATTCGACGAGTGCGATTAAATAAAACCTATTTGTATCCTTGGTTTAGAACGGTGACGGACTGGCCATTGTCACCGGTTATATTTAAAGCTCGCCGCTCGGATTCTGCGCGTGCTCCCCGCGCACTGCTCCTTTTTTCACCCACCAGGGGCCCCGATTAATTAAATAGTACTTTAAAGGAGCGATCGAATAGTGATAGCGCTAAGTAGTTAGGGCTGTTACACGAATACAAAGTAGGACGGGGCGGGCGCCCGCGACGAAAACAAAGCAAAAAACGCCTTTTACGATTGCCAGCCCTGCCTCGTTGTTTTTAAGGCCCATAGGCGACTATTGTTTTATAATCCGAGAGATAACAATGTACGCGCCTTTATTAAAGGTGACTCAGCAACGGGGTTGGGACGCCGGAGCAATAAAAGAAATTAAAACGCTCGAGCCATTTCCGCATCCGAGGAGGTCGCTAGCCGCCCGAGAAAATGATCATCGTGTATAATAAAATTTTATTCATCCCGCTCAGTAAATTATTGTCCTCTATTAAAGCGACGCAAACCTTTAGTGCGTGTTCGATTTATGTTTTTTTACTACATTTATATATACCTCAACTAATATGACAACTAAGAAGATAGTGTTACGTTTTATACCCTATTCAACGAAATACTACTTCTTAGTTATCTTATGGTATGAATACTTTGGTAAGGAAATTATTTTTGGGTTCCCCATTTCCTTGTACATATGGTGCGTAAATGTCTTTGAATGGCTTAAATTGCATATTGAGCTTGAAAATATTCACAACGATAGTAGCGCTATGATTATGTAAAAGAATTGATGACCTGTAAAATAGCACTGAAAAATATCTTAGTATTATTACCAAAACATCCGGGTTATCTTGTAAAGTAATCTACTTTAACTTAGTAGGTTACTAAGTTAAGTGATGAATCTATCGCCAGATATAGAAATTCCCTCACGTAAATTTACATCGAAGAGGGAATTCGACTCTGTGAAAGTGTCTTATTTAAAAAAAATCGCCGTAAAAGTTGCATTCAAAAGAAGAATCCGTCCGTGCAAATACGCGTACGAGGAGAGGATCCGCGCGCGCAAAACCGCGTCCGAAATACGCGCCGAAGATTGTGCACCCCTCGCGCGGTTTTTGTTTATTTGATAGCGCCGATGCATCGCTGGCTGCACACGCACCGCTCCGTACTGTCGACCCGCGGCGCGTGCGACACGCACGTTGCATCGCTTAAAGCCCGCTGCGTTTCCGCGTAGATCCGCGTGCGCCTCGCCACCCTCGCGACCGCCGGAAAACGTCGAAATACGCGCCCGAAATCCGCGTGATACGCCCCTACATCTACGTTTTCGAATTTTCGATTTTGTTTTGTTGAACTGTGCGCGTCGAAAATTCGAATTTTTTAGCCCATGGTAACGTTTCGACTACGCCCGCGCGGCCGCGATGGGGCTTCGCGAAATCCGTCAACATCCTCTTGCTAGGTGGTGTGCATAATCCGCGGTGCGAGCGCGCACCTGATTTCGGTATCGAATACGGGACCATTTTTCACGAGCGACTTTGAATTTCAAATGTGTCTTTATAAGCGTTGATGTTTTGTTCCCGTGGACTATTTCCCGCCGAATGTTGCCGGAGGTGGTTTGGTGGTGTCAGTTCTACCGGGACACGGCTCTGTGCAGCGCACGTAATATGGGGTAAGGAAGAAAACACCTTTTTTTTGCTGTCTTACTAATTACGCTACTTACTGATATTGCAATTTTTTACCATGCCTGCGAGTTTTTAATCAGTATTTTTAATGTTCTGGCGAAATATTTCCCTCCACTGGGTATTTTGTTTTTAATTTTCAAGTCAATGCCACTGTAAAAAATATTTTATGCTTGGAATAAATAAGGATAGTAAGAAATTTACTTTAATACGTCCATATAATATGAACTATTTCGTCAAGAGAATTTATTTTTCTTCAAAATGTGTGTGTGTGTGTGTGTTTTATTTTATTTTAATTACTTATCTAAATCAATCGACATTAAATTGCTGTGTATTGTCTAGATGTTTAGCCAACAATGTTTAACACAGCCCAATAACTTATACCATCTCCAAACATTGTCAATCGTGCTAAACGTTTAGTTGTCATTGAAACAACTTTAGGCCTTTAGCAACCATTTACAAAAGTTTGCTAGCACTAGCTTAGTACATCGTGTCAATGAATGAAACAAATGAAAATTGAGTGTCAGGGAAATGTCACGCCGTATCCCGTTACGCCATTTATCGCTAAGACGTAATCAATAATACCTATTACAATAAGCCCCCTGTAAACAAACCGAGAAGCCGTATCGATGTGCCGTCCAATACACCGTTTAGAATTAACTCGTAAGCAATATGTCGGGCAAGATGTCGCTTAAGGGCTGGTATCGGGTTCAGAAGCTCGAACTAACACGAAACAAATTACTTTCCCATGACCCTAATGGCGTAGTGGATGGTGAACTTGTCTCTTGCACCAAATGGTGTAGGTTCGATCCCCACTACCGGGAAAATATTATGTGGTGAACAGTCTTCTCTTTATGCACAAAATGTATGTTTTTATAAAAAAATAAGGTTTTTTTATGTTTATTAGTCACGTACCCATTGTATTAGCTTTGCTTAGTTGGGGATTACGTTGGGTAAAATATGAACACTTATAATTATTTCAATTATATTTATAATTATTTACGACATCATCTCCAGCGAACCATGCTGCAGATGATGTTAAAAATGAAACTGCTTGAACAATTTATATTAACAACGCATAACTAAGTCACGGCAATTTTTCGGCTTTAAGGTCCTAAATAACGAGTTGCATTTCCGTATACTAAAGTCTCTTTTTATATATAAAAATTTACCAGAATTCGAAACACTTTACCAAATTAAGCGAATAAGTTCCCTAATTCCATCGATCCTAATGCAAAGAGCAATAGCACCAAATACCCCAAAATTAATTTGCGTCCGTCTGTCATTAGAACAAACTTAGTCTTCGAGGCACAAGTGAACACACTTACTGATGAAAAAACTTAATGACAGAAAAAATAATAATAAGGATTAGATTACGCAGTTTTGTAGAGACGTCATACGTTATCTTTGCTGTGTCAGAGTAGCTTTTACCGTGGCATTAGCTTCTGTTGGTGCACGAATGGGCAGGCTCATCCGAGGACGTACCACGGTTTCATAGTAGACCAGCGTGAAGTGGATGTACTTTTGCGTGGCGTCTGGTGTCTTCATCCGTCACATATGAACAACGTGAACTAAAATGTTCGTACTGTTTCCTTTCTCTTGTCGAGTGAGGTAACCAAGAGCCCACAATCTCAGTTGGCTACAACATAAGAAATTAGTTTAGCATTATAATTAATTACTGGTCATAAAAAATAATGTGTCTGACACCGAGTAAGCTGAATGAAAAGTGACCAGTTTCTTTTACTTTCCGTAGAGAGCTTTGTTTCTCTGATTGCTGTAATCGAAAGAATTGTAATACACTGCGATTTGCAAAAGGATAATCGATGTATGATATAAACTTGTGATATATAGATGATGACATGAGTCATAGAACTTACTAACCCTTGTTTCGGTACAAATTTAAACCGAACTAAATCTGTACAAAGAGGGACTAAATGGTTTATCGTGTTACATTTATTATTTAACCAACTAAGCTTGCGAAGGGTCTTCGAGTATAATGCCTGAGCAAAGAAAGAGTAACAAAATAGAAAGAGAAAGAAAGACATATAAATAACAACTGCTATCTACTTTTACCGGGCTTAATGAGTCGCACAACGTGACAAGTAAAAAGTCACATGAACGTGACAAGTAAAAAGTCTGTTGGCGAACGTCAGAACAAAAGCGTAAATCCGAAAATAGGAAACGCTTTTGTGCCCGCCTTCAGGTTGGTACCACTGTTGACTCGTAAATTATATTTCAATGTACGAATTTAAAAGCATGAAACTGGAAATCAATAAACCATTATGTTACAGTTATTGTTGATTTATCGGTATTAGAATTAGTTAGCTTGATCCAACGTCTTATGGACAGACTAAGTCTAATTACGTCTAAAGGCCCATTTACACGGTGCCAGTTTCTTGCCTGTTGTATACAATTAAATTGAAGCAATAAATAAGTTGCATGGTGTAAACAACAAATGGTCTAACCAATTATTGCGCGCAATTTATTGCATTCAATTATTGCTCTTGCATGTACAAGAAAATGGCACCGTGTAAATGGGCCTTAATTTTCAGACACACACGTTTTTATTGTATAAAATGTTTTTAGTTTCTCTTTTCTTTTCAACTTGATCTAATAGATTAAACAATATTCAATTAAAAAAATACTCCAAGGAATGAAAACATAGCCTGTGTGCTTGGGGCTAAGGAAACTTTTTACTAACGATCAAAAATATAAAATCTGTTCAATGATTTTAGATATTGCCAATTACCTACAGCAAAATTTTACATCTTTACATTATTAGTGTAGATAAAATGTGTTATAAAGGTAAAAAGAAATCAGTATTGTTAACACTCAAGAGGACATGGAAACATTAACTTCTAAAACAAATACCCTATGCTTTATTGCGGGATAGGCAGATGTTTGAATTGTAAAGCTCTCTACGGAAACTGGATTACACAAATAGTAACACGTTGTTCTGCCTGGTCAAAGGTTAATGGAACAAAAGATGAAATACTGCAGCTATCTGTGGTGCCTTACAACATGGGGAAGGCAAAAAACCTTCCCTATATGAAGAAATACGTAACGAATTTTTATGGCGATTGGTCAAACTATATTTGTGTCTAGCAATTATATATACACCAATGTTCATTTGTAAATATATACACAGGTTTCTTTCCAACCTCATTAGATATTGTCTTTATCTGATAACCTTTAATCTAAGTGTTCCAGGCAGTGTATGAGCAGCATTATTCTCAGAGCTCGCGGATTTATAGTATTCGACCTCAAATAACATAGTTAACCTGATTTAGTCCATATTCGCTTATCAGTAGCGCTCTATGGATTTCCGAGAGCATCTTCAGTCAATACGAATCGGATGTTCACCTTAACAAGAACTACAAATTTTTTTCTACATGTTTTAATTTTCAATCTTAAGTGCAGAGATTAGCACTATAAAAAAACTTAAAAAAAAGAACTACAAATAGTATTGCTACTTTTAAAACGATATTTTACTCTTTTACTTCTTCTTCTGATTGCTATTCCATTTAGGTAAAAACGAATGTTTGTTGTAAAATGTCATGCAAATAATTGCCCGGGTATAAATCGAACTCAAAATCAACGGCTACAATGCCGATACCATAACAACTGCGTCGCCCGGGCTATACCTTTCCTAAAACCTTTATAACCAAAATACGATAACAGAAATCTCCTTTCTCTCTTATTTTTAACCTACTTCAAAAGGAGGAAGATTCCAATTCGACTGTTTCGATTTTTTCATGTTTGTTACTTCAGAACTTTAGACTGAGAGAACCGATATAGATGATTCTTTTTTATTTGAAAGCTGGTACTTCCCATGTGGTCGTATATTAATTTCATTGGTATTGGATATTGGGCTCCGAAGATACTTGGGGAACTCCTGAAAATCAATTATAAAATAAATCAGAGCGAGATATTTGAAGGTTGTTTTTTCTTCGTTAGTAAAATAGGTTATAGCCTATCCACTAATGACTTTTCCTCAACTTTTCCAAAAATATCACTTTATTGTAAAATTGTCAAGCGAGGTTCACCTTATGGTAATGTACCACCGCCGCACGTGGAAATCTACGACACCCTATGTGTTACGCCAACCTTCGAAATAGTACATAAAGATTTAGATTGGTTATCACTCGGCGAAAGGAATATTCCTAGCAAATTTCAAGTCTCTACGCTTTATGGTTCCAGAGATACCGAGTCAATTATCGGTGGAAATCTCTTATATACAGCGTGTCGTTACGACCGCGACAATAAATGGACACACGTCTAACGTTACTTGCCAATAATCATAAAAAATATAAAAGGTTAACAAAATCTATAATTAAAAAAATATATTTTTCAAACAAACTAATTAAATAAAAAAGAAACAAAATTTGTAACATCCGATACAACTACGACTGACTGAATCATACATTCAGAGACTTTTTCATTTGTTGCTACAACGTCGCATTAAAGTCTCTCCTTCTAACAGTATGTTTTATCTCTTTTAAATTCATTCAACCCATTCATATCGTCAGTTGAAATATCAATTAATGTAACCGCCAAAAGGCGACTTTACAAGAGAGGCAAAAAACTAAATTACGATTCACAAAAATAGTTGTAACTTTTTACATACTTATCCTATAGCAACGCTGTTTGCAGGATTTTTTTCAAAATTTTCACATCTGATCTCTGAAAGAAACCATAAGAAGCCTACTATTATAATTTAGAAGATGGCACGGTGGTTACGTTAATTTTATTTTTTAAATATCGCGTTACGTTAAGATTTTTTGTAATAAATAATAACAGCTATAATGTAACTCACAGAGTTTTCAAGACGTCGACATAAG